CTAATCGCTTCACCTCCTCCCTAATCGCGGTATTGTCAAACTCCCTACCACCGTCTGATGTAATCCTCTCGGGGACCCCATAGAACTGCACCCAGGTTTGTAGGGCTTCCGCAACTGCATTGGCTGACTTGTCCATGACCTGATGTGCCATCGCCACTTTGCTGAAGACGTCGATTATAGTGACCCACTTGAACCCTTTCCAGGTGAATGTATCAATCTGGAGGTCTTGTAGCGGCATATTCCCTGTAGGTGTCTCCTCCTGAACTCCTCTGGGGGGGTGTCGATCGTATTTTGTGCGCATGCATATCTCACATTTCCCAATGATTTCCTGGATGGATCTCTTCATGCCCCACCAGAAATACTTTCGACGTAATGCCTGCAACGTCTCGTTCACGCCTCGGTGGTTGGTTTTCCCCTGGTGATATGCCAATGTGACTGCTTGCTGTTGCTCTTCGTCTTGTATCGTCTCCACCGCATACTTGCACCGGATGAATGTCCTGTCCACGCCTATTCACTCGGATCTCCACATTCGCTTTATCTTGTCCCATACTGTATTATTCCCAACATATAGATAGTGCGTTTTACCCGCTTCCGAGGCGTCCCTCAGTGCCGTACAGATTTGCTCTTCGCTTACTCCGGGTTGCGACCAAATGATGCGAATCCTACTCCTCCCATATCTTCTGAAATCTATTTTCATGATCCCGGCTGTTCGTGTCTTCCAGATCACCTGACGATGTTTGTCGTTAACGATTTCATCTATTTCGTCCATCTCCACTGCCCTTTCCTCCGCTGAGCTCTCCTCTTCTGGGGACTCTTCCCTGTCCTCTATACCTGCGGTATCATTTGCCCCTTCGCCATCAGGACTCCATTCACTCAAGAATTGACGCACGTCCCGCGATGGTCCTCCCCTGTCCTCTTCAACCGCGTTGATCATGATGGCCCTAGAGAGCCAGTCTGCCACCACGTTTTCCTTTTCCGGCTTATACACCACCTCTATATTGTATTGGCTAAGGACCTCCTTCCATCTCGTGACCCTAGCTGAGGTTTCCTTGAGTTTCCTTACCCACTGAAGGGGTTTGTGGTCGGTGTGGACTCGAAACTTTCTCCCGAATACGTATGGCCTGAAATGGTCGATAGCCCACCCTATCGCGAGTAGCTCCCTCTCCAAAGCGCTGTACCTTGATTCCGCACCCGTAAGCCGACGGCTCGCGTATGCTATCGGACGTTCACCCTCACTTCTTCCCTGAGACAAAACGGCCCCTAACGCGTATTCGCTCGCATCGGTGGTTATATTGAATTGCTTTTCAAAATCCAGGAATGCCAACACGGGCTCTGCCTGCAACCTATTCATGCATTTCCGGATATTGTTCTCCTTATCCAGTGTCACCACAATCTTCGCGCCTTTCTTCAGCAAATTGTTGATAGGTACCAAATACTCTGCCATCTCAGGCACGAATGTTCGGTAATAATTAAGTGTCCCGAGAAGCCTCCGGATCCCTTTAACGTCCCGTGGTACCGCCATCCGTGTGATTGCCTCCATCTTTGCTGCATCCGGTCTGACCCCCTCGCTAGAGATAGAGTGGCTTAAAAAATTAATCCGCGTTTGCCCCAACAGGAACTTCTCGCTCGACAATTTCAGCCCGAATTGCCGTAGCCTTTCGAAAACTGATCTCAGATGCCCCACGTGTTCTACTAAAAATCAGCAGGTCGTCCATGTACACTTGGCATACCGAGTCATCAATACCCCTCAAAAACTCGTCCATCAGACGTTGAAACGTTATGGGCGCATTCTTCAGACCAAACGGCATTCTGGTGAACTCATAATGCCCCCTTTCAAATGTAAACGCCGTTTTGTGTTGATCTTCTGGGTGCATCCGTATTTGGTGATATCCCGCTTTGAGGTCCAATGTGCTAAATACCACTGCCCCACTTAACCTATCGAGTATATCTTCGAATCTGGGGATCGGGTACTTCTCATCCAATGTGTTGTCATTCAATTTCCAATAGTCTATTACTACCCTGTATCTTTCCTTGTTATCCCCCGGCACTGCCTTCTTTTTCACCGCCCACAGGGGACTATTAAATGGTGAGGTACTATCAACGATGATCCCTTGCTCCTTTAGGCTGTCTAATTCCTCCCGAATATGCTGCCTCAGCGCCTGCGGGTATCTTCTTTCCTTCACGTAGGTTACCCTATCCTGCTTCAGTGGGATTTCATGCACCGTCCTCCCTGTTACCCCCAATACCTCGCCTTCCCTGAAGAAAATATCTTCGAACTCCGTTTTTAGCGACTTCCTCCAGTCCTCCACCCTGTTCACCGCTCCTATCCGCACCCTTCTTCCTCTCGCGACCCCTACACATCCAAACTTCCTCTTTCCCAGCCTAATACTCCAGGCTCCCCTATGGTTTCTGATGCTTGCCCCTACCTGCCCTAACAGATCGCACCCTACTATGACTTGGTATTCCCGTGTCATGTTCTCTACCACATGCACCCTTAGCTCACCCTCCCTCCCTACCCACCGATCAAGCCTAATTATCGCCTCCCCCTCTACGCTATAGGGACCACCCAGAGTGATCAGCTGGCAGTCGCATTTCTGTATCCGGAGTACCCTCTCGCTCCCGCACACTTTCCCTAACGCCCCTCGGGTCATGATAGTGCTTGAGCTATCCGTGTCCACAAGACACTTTACTCCCCCATCTACTTCAATAATTGGCAACCAGCATGGCTTACCTCGGACACTGTTGCATGTTGCTGTGCGGTCGCCTCTCTGATGACACACTCCTCAGATGTCGCCCCGCTTCCTCCTTACTGCCGCCGCTCGTCGCTGCTCGCTCCGTTGGCTGCCCCTGCCTCCTTCGCCTCCGCTGCTGCCTGGTTCGTCCGTCTCCGTTCCCGAAGTTCCCGACTCCTCGGTTGCCTCCTCCGAAGATCCGTCTCTCTGCTGCACCCTAGCTCGCCTTTTCATTTTCCGCACATTCACCTCCATCGGCTCGTCCTGAGGTCTCTCTCTCCTGCGAAACATGTATGGGCACTGTCTCGCTATGTGCCCTTCGGTCCCGCACTCGAAGCATCTAGTGCGCGGACACTGCGCTACCAAATGTCCCGGCTTCCCACACCCGTGACATTTTCTCTCTTCCCTCCGGGGACCATTCCTCGGTCTCGACGACTGTCCGGATCTTCTTTCACCCATCATGGCCTTTTCTCCATTCTGTTGCCTTATGTCCCTCTTCCTCCAACCTGTCGGGGCTGTCCGTGGTTGTCTATCCGTCACTCGGATCCATCCTGGTTCCTCCACGTCCATCCGCGTCTCTTCCTCTCTTGCACTTAGGTCGATCATCTCCTGGGCACATTCGAGGCAGAGAGCATATTCGCTCTCTGGGCAGTCCGTCCCTCCTCCCCGTTTCCTTAGCCAGCTGGACTTTCAGTATTGTCGAAAGGAACTCCATCCTGGCTTCAACCTCTCCCAAGCTCATCGTTTCACGCATCTTCTCAGTTATGCGGTTGTACTTCGCCACAAGTACCCCCGCATACTGTCCCCTCGTCTGTCGTTGGGACCGCCGCTCCCTAAACATTTGGAAGATATCCTCTTCCGGCGTCCATCTACCTCCTCTGAAAGCCTTCTTCAATCGCTCCTTAATCACCGGCCATGGAGTCTCCTCGTCCGCTTGAATCTGGTTCAGGACGTTCCTCCTTACTCGGCACACAAGAGCTGCTTTTAGTGCTTCTGCGTCCCCTAGGTTCACCAGGTCCTCCGCCACCTTTACCTCGATTCTTGACATGAGGCGATCTCTGCCTTTCAAGAAATGGTTGAGCTCACCTACCTCGCCCCCGAAGCGTTCCAGGTCCGCAATGGCCCTCCGTAAGTCCTGCGTAGTTGCTGCTCTTATCTTCATCCATTCCAATGCGTTGGCGTGAGCTTCTGCCAACGTGTCCCTCGGTAAGGGACTGGTTAAGATTAAAGTGAATATTTTATAACACACCGGAAGGAGTGAAATTCCTCGATAGTTATTACAATCCGTCCATGGACCCTTTTTGTGAATCGGAATAAGAATAGATTCTTTCCATTCTTCAGGTAATTTCTCGTTCACCCAGATCTTTTTAACCAACCGATGTATTTTAGAAACTCCAGCTTCCCCGCATGCCTTAATTAGTTCAGTAGGAATATTATCGGTTCCCGCTGCTTTATATGATTTTAATTTTCCGATTGCTACTTCAACTTCCTCTTTACTTGGTCCTTCTATTAACGGTTCAGCACTCTGGTACTCAGAAGGAGGACACAGATCATAATTTCCCGTATTTAAAATATTGTCAAAGTGGTCCTTAAACTTATTCAATATGTCAACCGGATCGGTCAGAATATTGTTATTATTATCCCTAATTCCAGACGTTACGGGCCCTACATATTTACGTGATCTGTTTATACCTTTGTACATGTCTCTTATGTTATTTTCGATTCTATTAGTTTCTATTTCAATTATTTTATTTTTAAGATACTCCCTTTTTTTATTTTTGAGCAATTTTGTCGTTTCGTTCTTTGAGGTTCGGAAGTATTCCAGATTATCTTCGCTAGGATTATTTAGAGCTTTTAATTTAGCGGCTTTTCTTTTTTCGCACATGTTTAAGCAATCTTCATCAAACCACGGTTTGTTATTCTTATTTTCCTTTTTTCCTAGACACGAGTTACCGACCGCTAGATATATTACAAGACACAACCCTAACGAATCAACGTGCTTTGTAAAAAGCATTATATTGCTTTGGGATATCTAAGTGAAGAGAGGGTATCTCACAAAAGATCCTACTGGGTCGCAGTGAGGAAGGGCTTTCCGCCCCTCAATGTGATAATAATGTTATACCTAAATTTTCTGAAACTTAAACTTCTCTTTGAGTATTCGTGGGTAAATGCTTCTTAAAAAGAATCAGTCTAAATGTTGTATGAAAGATTACACACTTCCCACAGGTTTACAAGACATCCAATAGACTCTCAGGACAGGAAATTTACCTGTATCTATTTCAAGGTCAGTTGCAACGATGACAGCTTTAACAGTTCCACATAATATAAACCTCTTTGTTTCTCTGAAGCCACATAAGTACCTGCGTTTTGAAAATGTTTTTCCAGGATCTTTAGCGTGTTGTTTGCTTTGCAAATTTCTTAGTCTTACAACTAAGTTTTCAGTGTTTTTCAAAAGGGCAGTAGAAACCAGATTGGTGCAATACCTACAAAATAAATAAGAAATAGACATCAAAGATGGGTAAATGATATAAAATCAGCAGAATGTACAGATTTAATTTATAGGCCAACCATTGAGCAACTTTATCTGATTGAGGATGGTTTGATAGAAAATAAACCAGGCCTGGTCAATCCATGGCTTGCTCGGTAATTTCATATTTATATTAAAACTTTGATTTCTCATTGGAAATATAATAGAGTTATATTATATTAGTTATATTAGATATATATATATATATATATATATATATATATATATATATATATATATATATATATATATATATATCTAATATAACTAATATATACATATATATATATATATATATATATATATATATATGGTATTCGTATTTATATTTTTGTATATAAATATGCCCATCTCTGTATATCTTTATATGAATAGTCATATATCCAACCACTACAAACTTATTAATTTAACTAATCCAGATAACTTATTAACTAACTGTATTTAGATAGTTATAACTAAATTAATATACAATTAAAATTGCATTAAAGAAAATAAGTAAGAATAAAAACTAAAAGATAAGTGTTAATGCCTGATGACATCCTTGATTTGTGAAGAATATATTACATGATAACATGATCTGATATAATATATGATCCATAGAAAATATCAAACGAAGGATAAAGCAGAGAGGGTTGTTTATGGAACCCATTCAAGACAAGATTGTGTATGCTGGTAAGGATTTTTATCATAACCACATGAATTTCAATTGTCAGGATATAGATACTGGGGTCACCTGTTAACAATAATGGGTTGTGCTCATAAATGGTATGATGATGGATTGTACACAGAATAGGCGATGGAAGAAATGTGTTATTCCATGTTATTCAATACAAGATTAAGGATAAGTGTTAATTAAGGAATAGGACAAAACAATATATTTAATGTTTGAACCCTTATTTTTAAATGTTATAATTACACAATCGATATAAAGAAATGGAATAAAATTGCTTACTTTGGAAATTTCCGAGAATGAAGTAACGTTTTTGCTAATTCCATGGTAGATATTTCTGGTTCAGAACTATCTTTACTGCATATTTTTTTGCAGTCTTCAATACTAAGTAACTCAAGCGATGACTGTAACTTTTCAATATTGAAATTATTATTCACAATGTTTGGTACAAGGCATTTAACTTTATGGAAACAATTGTTGTATTCATTTCTCTTTTTCAAAGGCCTTGATAATATTATCATTTTTTTGAATTGAGTTAGGTATTTTTTTTTATTTAGATGAGATTTTCCCTTTTTCCTTATTGGTCTATCACTGTCGAGTTTATTGCCACTTAATATCCTATTTTTTATAATCATCTTCTTACAAAGTGGTTTGTTTTTAGGTATAGAAGGCTAGGAAAAAAAATATATAAATTAGACAATATTAAAAACAACAGAAATTCAAAGTCAAAGCAACCTAGGGTTATTAAAATATATCATTTTAATAAAAAAATTATAATTTGGTGATTTACTCAATAAATATAGCGTGAATACCACAATATTCCTTTTAAAACATACATAAAATATTTAGTCACAGTTAAAGTTTCAGGATACTATTTCCCACCTTCAGAACTACAGTTTTTCTTGTTAATATATATGCAAAGATGCTTTAAATTATAAGAATGTGCAGTACATATGAGATAGGCTTACTGACTTTTTGATGATTGTCGATGATAATGACCCACGGCTTCAGTCGAAACTTCTAATAAAGCATAAAAAGACTGCATATCCTGATTATTTCACATCATAATATTATATTTAACTTTATTTTAACAAGAAGATAATTTAAAGCATCTTCGCTTATCTAAGTAGCAAGAAAAACTATAGCTCAGAAGATGGGAAATATATTAATTTTTTAAAATTTTGTTCACCCTCTTAAATAAATAAACAAATCACCCATTTATGAGAAACAGGGGATTTGATCTGCAAGTAAAACTAAACCTATTTTAGCCTGAGTGGGAAGACCAAATTTTATTCTGTGAGTCTACCACGTTATAAATTTCATCTGGCCCAGGCTGGATTCGACACGGTAAATTTTAGGTTAAAGCAGGTAAAGATTTTATAGTCTTCTGGGAAATTCATTAATTGTGATTGAATATTTTAAAGAATATGGAAGCAAATATTGGAATTTAAATATTTACTAATATGTGTTTTAACACTACACTATTTTAATACTAGGTTTCTAAAACAAGGCACAGGCCCAATAAATATTAGTGTTATTTGAAATCCATTTACAGTAATACTGTACAAGTTTTGCTCCACTTTGAAGGGAGGGCCAAGATTTCATTATCATGGTACAAATGCGATTCTGAGAATGAGTGAAGATTGACAATGAGTTCATGTTATAACCTCCTTAATTAGTTCACTAAACCTGTCAAACTGGTTATAAACTCTGATCAGTTAAAATTGGAGTCTCAATTATCTTTAATAGCAATGCTGCTTTCAATTTCTGCTCACTCAAGAGATAAACATACTCCCAATGGATCCTTATTAGCTGGGATTGGGCCTTACCAATCATCTGTCACCTCCAAATTCATGGGATTCCATGTATATAGCATGATTATTATGTCTCACTCATCAAAGTGAAGCAACACTTGTACTGAATATCCCTTTTATTAAGCACTTTTTAAGGTTGTATTTCTTCCAGTTTCTTATGAAGTCCAGTTTCTTAACTAGTCAAAATTATCAATTGCTGTAACTTGCAAGATATGCATATTTCAAAATCTTGTAAGGTGTCGATGAGACTAGATAAAGATATACAGCACATTTTAAAACTGTTAATTGTACTTTGTAATGTAAATATTATTTTTCATGATTTTAATGAGGAGCAGAATGGAAAAAAGTTTGAACATTGTGCAATATATGGCAGAAGGAACTTGATAAATAAACCTTACAATGGTAGCAATAAAAGCATAAAATTAATAGTGTAAATACTGAATAATACTAACAGACAAATGATTATCTAAGCAGAAATTAAAATATTTAATTTTACTGTGTTAAAAATTGAGTTCTCACCTTTATTAATGATGATAATGAAACACTAATTTCATTTCGAAATTTTGGAATTCTAATTCTTCTTGGTGCATGATTTTGTTTTCTTTGTGTTTTACTAAAATCAAAATTAGAATTTGATGTTCCACTTTCAGGAATGTGCTTTAATACTTTCTTCATTGAAATTGATTTAGTGAGAGTAGGAAAATTGTTTTCAATTTGACTTTCTTCATTAGAAACATTAGTTCTAAGAGGTATAGCAGATACATCATTTTCATGCTCTGATGAATGATTCTCTTCAAGAAGGCTCAAAATATTTCCTTTAACAGTGGCCTAAAACATTAGAATAATAGATTGATAACCTTGAAGTATTGAAGAATAAATGATAACATTAAATACTTACAATAGATTTATTACGTCTTTTAGATATTTGGTTACTATCATTTAAAAATGGCCATATGGGGTCTACGTCTTCGTTCTTGCCAATAAGAGCATCCCTAAAACCACAGTTGTTCATATTTCATTATTTTGAAAAATGGTACCCATCATGAATATATCTACAATCTGTAATCGGCCGAGGTTATAAACCAAATAGGTTACAAATAAACAACTCGAGAAATCAGACCGTTCCTAAAATCTTCGATAGAATCATAAATGGAATTAAGTGTTTTCTTTATTGGTCGATATCAGTTAATTTTTCAGGTTGATGGATCCGCAAATATTCATTGAAACTGATTTAAATTGAAACCATGTAGCAGGAAAGTGACTTTTTCTCAACTTTATAAAAATGACAGATGGCAACCATTGATATTAAGCCACTTATATTTATTTCTGATTTGAAATTTAAAAATTCAGTAGGTAGTTATTTTCTCATATTGTATCTGTTTACTTTCATCCTTTCAGGAGTTGGAATCAATTGTTTCCTAAATATGGACAAGGTCCTAAACTTAGCGCTAATTCTATCCATTATTTATTTACCTACTTGAAATTTTTCAATCGAACGTCACCTAGACAAAATGGTGCCCTCTTCAATAAATTAAATATAAAAAAAAAAGGCACTATAATATTCGAATAAACCTATAGTGATTGGCTTGAAGAAGCAATACGAAGGTTTAGCAGGATAATGGTTATGACACAATTAAAGTCCAATCACCGTGTATTTCAGAGCGACCGTGTGAATTTTTTCGACCTTAATCTAGAATTTAGATTGTTCCTAATCATAAATCGCTATCCAGCGATGTTGGATTCAATTGATTGGTGAATTCCAAATTGATGATGGAAATAGCGTTGAATTTAGGGAACAATTGATTCCTCCGGATGGGCAACACTCCTGAAAATATATATAAAAACATGAAAATAAACAAATAGATAGGAAATACTTTCCTATTAAACCAAATTTCAAACCAGAGATGAATATAGATAGAAAGTAAACTGAATATAAATATGTAAAGTAAATTGAGAACACAAGAAGAAATAACAATATCGTACGATTGTAAGGCGGGTATTCAGTAAACCTATGTTTCTAGTTTTTTAATATTTATTATAAGAAAAAAATATGATCAATTAGAATATAAGTGCCGCGAAGGTCGAAGTAGTTAAAACGTATGCAAAAATACACTATATGTGTAGAGCTTTTCATTTCGATATTTATCTTAAACCAAAAATTATGAGTTCGAATTCTCCTTCCAGGATTTCCATAACAAACAGGCAATAACAATACATAAAAAAATCTGAATCGTCTTTATTACACCAGTATATTAATCGAAAAACCCTACCCTAAGCGTGATATTGTCCAATGCCATAACTGTCAGGCTAATAGCCACACAAAACACTACATCCATCATTTATCGAGATGAGTAAAGTGTGCCAAAAATCTCAAAACCGAAGACTACAGAAAGCTTATACAAGAGCCAGCTGTATGTGCACTATGCCACTATGGGTATACGACTACCTAAAAGGGATGTGAAACATATAAGACCTTAAAAACAAGAATGATGACAACTCCCGGACCGGAAGAGTCATCTAGACCATCCAGACGTCCTTCCAGAATAGCGAATGAACATTTGTCCTACTTCCAAACATTAAGAGATATAGAACAGCCTCCACAACCTCAGGCCTTGTCGTTGGCACACCCTCATAATATCCAACCTCAACCAGCTACCCAAAACCCCAGTCACCACTAAATTTCCTACAAACCTCCCAGCTGTGCCAATGACCTCACCAGCCTCCTAACATAATTCCTCTCCGAGTTCAGACCCCTCATCACTCCACTTATCACCCTACTTACACAAACGTTGTGTCAAATTTAATCCCATCCCCGAAAGATCCTTAGATGACAACAAGCAAATCCCTTTCCATTCTCATTAGGAATGCGAATGGTGTTCGAAACCATACTAACGAACTAACAATTTTACTAAATGACAAAATATTGACATAGCCCTGATAACCGAAACCCGATTGACCAGTAAACGATTCAACATACCTAACTACCAAATCTATCGAACTGACATCCCCAATGGAACAGCCCATGCTGGTACTGCTGTCATCATCCGTCGACCCATTTTCCATCACTTATTCTCCCTACCTATCCTTGATTTCCTATAGGCCACTGCAGTCACAATTCAAACAGTATCATTTCGTTTAACAATTGTTACAGCGTATTCCCAGCCTAAAACATCCATTTCTGAATCCTTCCTTAATACCTTAAGACACCATTTCCTTATAGGTGCAGACCTAAATGCAAAACACCAGCACTGCTGAGCCAGAACGACAAATATCCAAGAGCGAGCACTGACGTCTGTATTTAATTCCCATCATAGTAAAATCCTTTCACCCAAAACTCCCACATACTGTCCAACAGATCCTAATCACAATCCCAAACTCTTAGACCGCAATACCGCAAGAAAGGTCCTTTACCTCAAGACCTATATTACTTCCACAATCCAACGCAAACCCTGTCCTATATTTTTTAACTCTTCCCTTCTCAGACACAGTCCGGTACTTGAGTTTCCTCCTAGACAAGAGACTGACATGGAATCCTCATACCAGACTTAGAAGACAAGAACTTAATCGGCGATTTGGTCAGATTTATGGACTACTTAAGAAAAACTCACATCTTGCAATTAACCTGTGGGACTTTAACTGTGGGGGATAGATAAATCTTCGAACATCAATCGCATCCAATCTTTTAAATCCAAAGTCCTTCGAACACTCTATGCTCTATTCTACGTCACAAATAAAACCCTACAGCATGATCTCAACATCCCATTTATCGTTGACCTAATTCCATCCAGATTCTCAAATTTAATTAAAAAACTTATCTATCATCCTAATCCCTTAGCCCAATCACTCTCCAGCTCCAACCATCCATATAATCCCCCACGAAGCTTTAAACGGCATTGGCCTCGATACCTTTTGTAAATATGGTATTGGAGTTCTGGCAGTGGCCAGCTTCTCGGCTCAAGCCCTGAGTTTATATGGCTTTAGCATTCTCAATCAGCCTCCACTGGCTTTCAAACAGTGATGCGACTGGGAGAGAAGAGCTGAGATCTCTTTGAGTCCTGCTTTGCGTTTCACATGTGAGCGGCAAAGCATGGTTCAGGGTTCCCCCGGCTGAACGTAAATATTGTACATAGGAATGAGTGTGTCAAGTATTTTTTGTCTTTTTATTATCCTTTTAATATTGTTTTTCTTTTTACAAGTATTTTATATTTTTGTTATTCTGTTGTATATATTTTTTAGTTACATGTTTTCTTCTTATTTCTTTTTTCTCAATTTGTATATAACTGTATGAATGTGCACATAGAGCCTTAATCCCAATGCCCTTGATTGTGGCAGATTATATTATTATTCTTTCGATAAAAAAAAGAAAAAATAAGTCCTATTATTAAATAAAATGGTTAGCGGCTCTTAGTCTAGTACCCTGCCCTACTTACCAGGTCGGATAAGGTCGTCTAAATGGCTCTTAAGGCTTTCCTCCACTAAACATATTTAAATCGTGTATATTATATGCATTAATACAATTAATAATATTTGCATTGGTATATATAAGAAATAATTTTGAATAAGAAGCTCAGGAGCCTCTATCTCAAAAACATTATTTATGCTATTGCCCTCTCTTCAGCTTTTTGTTTTTCTTTCTAGAAGCTGCTTATCGTATTTTCAATATCTGGCTCTGAAGGTAGTTCCTTATCAAGAAGTTACACATCATACTAATTGCCTAATCGTTTGAGGATATGAATTAAAAAATAAACACAAGCTTAATCTGACCTACATTCTCCCCTCTCCGCCCCCCCCTGCGTCTTCCTCCCTTAATCCTGTCCTTTTTACCCTCATCAAAAAAGTTAATGTAATATTTCTCTGACAAATAGATAGAAAAATTAAAAACGTTAAACTCAAGTAAATGGACAAGATTTAAATAGAACAAAGATTTGTTGGTCTTCTGTATTTTTCCCGCCAAATGCATAAAGGTTATGATACGTCGTAAATGTTTTAGAATTTCATCGGAATGTCTTTTATTAGTTCTAGAACGCACTATTTTTCAATTTCCGACATCATAGCAAATCAAGAAAGAATAACATGCAAGTTTAACGGTAAAATTTCATACTTAGGTAAGTAAGGAAAGTAGTTTGTGATTGAAATTCTCGCAAACTTGGTTTATTTTTCAGATGTTAATTGATGTAGTTTATTTATTAAAACGTGTTATTTCTATTATTTATCTTCCTGTTTCAATTTAAGAATAGTTATTGAACAGAAATTAATTCTTTATCTTTCGTAGTTGGCTGTTCTGGATTTTTTAAGTAAAGTGGTAGGTTTCAGTTTTTGTAAGTTGATTTGGTTGTGAGATGAGGATATTTTCTGCTTTATATCGGAAACTACCAGAAGTTGGCGAAATCACCAAGAAATATGCCAACTTGCCTGAGTCATATATTAAAAGATGCCTAGAAGAAGTAGAATGGAAAACTCCAAGAGGTTTACCTCAATATTTACCACGTACAAGATCTTGGAAAAAGAGGCATTTCGATGTTCACAGACCTTGGACTGGATTTTTTCAACGTGAAAATGCTCCAGGAATTTACCACAGGAAAGTTTTTTTGGAGCCTTTCAGAGATTGGAGTTTTTTCAAGGGCGACAGAGTAGAAATTTTAAGTGGTCCAGATAAAGGAAAACAAGGCATTATTTGCCAAGTTATTCAAGAAAGAAATTGGGTGATAGTTGAAGGACTTAATTGTAAAATGGTATTGATAGGCAAGACAAAACAGTTTCCAGGATTAGTACAACAGCAAGAGCAGCCATTGCTTGTACAAAGAGAAGTAAAGCTTGTTGATCCAGCAGATCTGCAAAATACAGAAATTGAATGGAGATTTACAGAAGAAGGAGACAAAGTTCGAGTTTCACTTAGGACTGGTCGTATTATACCTATTCCAGTTCAAGCTCAGGAAACTTATGATTATAAAACCAAAAGAACCTATAAGGAATCAACAAAAGATACAACTTCTGATGATTTGTCAGAAGTTACTTTCTCACCTACATTAGAGACTTTTGAAATGAATATTATGAAATCAATGGGTATAAAAGAAGAACGAATACCAGTACAAACCTATTGGTATTAAGAACCATCATTTTTGAAAATTGTACATAAGATAAATTTAAATAAAGGATATATTTAGAATCATTTATTATATTTTACCTTTAATTTTAATCACTATTCCTTTATATATATATTATTTGTTTGGTACAGCTTCCATTCTGAATGGGTATCTATAATCACTGGCAAAAACCATTTATTGGGCTTTTGGTGTGTTCCTTAAATAAAAAATATAAAAGATAATTAATTTACTAAGTAATTATTATTGGCCTCCCTAGGGTACACTAAAGTAGGTACTCTTAATTAATTAAGGGAGAAAAATTGGCAGTTGAGTGTGATACCTGTCAAAGTGGTACAGGTTGATAAGTATATATATATTGGTGTGAAGATGGTTAACCGTAATTATAATTTGAGAAGAAGTTGGTCGGGGTGTGGTCCATATATAATGTAGTATTACCACACACACGACCAACTTCTCAAAAAATATGTATGTATATACATTACAAAATTCAAAATTTGTTTACTTTGTAATGTCCTGAAAAAATTGATCAGTTACTGACTTGCTGATTTCTTCTAAACTTGAAGGTTTTAATATATTAGCAACTTTTTGATGTATGGTTAATTTTTAGTGCAGGTGCATTTCTTTATTATTTTTTTTTCGTCATGTTGATGCCTCAAGAAAGCCTATTGTGTGTTATTAAATTGTTATCTTATAACCATTAATTGAAAATATATTGGAATAATTTGAATACTTAATCAATGCATTACTGAAAAGGATAAAGTTAAATAGCCCTTAACTTTCTCTACCTCTTACTTGAATTTCTCATATAAATTATCATACTAATGAAAATGATTGGTAGAATTTGTAAGTTGTTGTTTCAAAGGGTACCTACAATTTCATTTAACATAAGACAGGTGTGAAGGCTTGTTTGTCTTCAAACAAGTCTGAAAATATGTAGGACTGCACATTCGAAATGCAGGTGTAAGGTTTGTTATACACCTCTACATACTTTCATACTGGTCTGTCTCAACAGTTTGATGTATGAAAGTGTGAAGGTCATTTAACACGAAACCATTCATCATCGAATGGCATAAAAAATTATATGCTCAGTAATTGGATATTATTTATACTTTTCTGTAATAATAAAAACACTTAAGTTTATTTACAAATTCACTTTGTATGCTAATTAATTTAAGATAAGAGCACCTTTGAAAAAATAAATGCTAACCACTGTCATTTATAAACAACTTGACATATATATATTACTTTATATTCCAAATTATTGAACTAGTTTATGGCTAAATTAGAAATGTAAAAACGGTGGTGGATGATGTCTTTGTAATACCTGGGTACAAGTATTTAAGTAGTATTTGTAATTTTTTAATTAATACATCAATTAATTATTTTTTTTTATCATCACGATAACAAAATCACTAGTGAAAACATGATGAAAACCGAGGTGTGGCATGTGAAATCCAACTTTAGCTTGCTCAGCCTGTATGAAAATGTGTGTGCACACTTAAACATCATACAGTAAGAAGAGTTTATCTACCATGATAATCGGATTGTTGGCCCATGAAAGTGTACAGCTCTCCTTGAGATACATACATGACATGTGCAGAATTAACTTTTAGCATCTAAATACATCCCAAAATTTAGTTTAGAACTTTTTAGCAGAAATACTATAAAACACACTGTAACTCACTCAATAAATTTCCAACTTTACCAGTACTAGGATGATTTGCATTTTTCCCATGAGATTTGAAATTTAATAGCATATAGCTTTGCTTAACTGTATCAACATACTCAAGAAAAACAATTGACCCGTATGATAACAAGCAAGTAGTTGAGAATAACAAGCGTTGACAAATTAGAATAGAATAGAGCAATCAAAAAGTTAAGAATTAGATTATTATAATACACCAACAGTATAGCCAAGGCACCCATCAAGTAATTTAGGACTGAATGTCAGACAAAAGGTAAAAGAGATGTGTTTATAGTTTTCAGGTCAAGTACCCAAGTATTAGGCAATTAAGTGATGATTTATACAATTACTTCTCAAAGGAAATAAACGTAATTAATTATAATATTTTATTATTTAGGTTTGCTAGTTACGGTTATATAATACTTTTTTTAGGTGTATTAGATCCAAGTGCTGAAAGTACTGCTCTTGAAGAAGGAACAGTTCTTGAATTACCATACTGGCTTGTAAGCGCATTAATAAATGATGATGCAGTCAGCATAGAATTGCCTAAGGTCTACAGAGATTCTTACAGGTAAATTCATTGCTTAAAATGATAGTTATCATAGAGATTAAAGATTACTTTATAATTTACTGTTTAAAACACTAGTGGATCCATGTGGGGAGTATGCACCTCCTCCCTCCCGAAAGGTGAGAACAAATTTTATCTTGAAAAAGTTACTATACAACAGGTGCTTTTAATTTTAAATGAATTTTGATTTATACTTTTTTATTGGATTACTCATATTATAATTGAGGTATTAAAATGTTTTAATAATTGACTGTTAATTGGTTGGGGTGACCAAGCCGACTAAGGTGCTTGTAATGGGTAACCAATCTAAGAAATGTCGAGCACAGTAGACCACCCTGAATCCTGAACTTCTTCCTCTCATCTTCATCTTTTAATCTGGCTATACCATTTGAGGCCACCTCATAGATTCAATTAAAATAAATTTCCACAGAAAGGTACCTAGGACAGAACTCAAGAGACTAATTGTTTACATGAAGTCTTCTATTCCTAAGAAGCTATTCTGTATTTTTAATTTCTCTTCTGAGAGATAGCTCCTCAATAGTTCATATATGTTCCTCAGAGCCTCAAACTTAGCCAACTGCTTGTGTATACTCAGTCACCAAGCATTGTCAAAGTCAGAGGATATGTCGAATGGATGAAGCTTTTTCTTCTCTTGCTCTCCTACATTATATGCCTCATTAGACACTATCAGCAGGTCATCTGTTGTTCTCCTATGTGTATCCATATCTCAATTAAATGAATCTTATTGATTCCATGGGAACTGGCTCAATTTTCCATCTCCCTAAAACCCATTGCCTATTGATAGATAATTGTCTCAGAACAGAGGGTCCAATCTTCAGGGATTTGCTAGATTTGGAGATCCTTGTGTACCGTACTTACATTAGGAATAGAACAAAGACGAGAGGGATCATTCATTAATACTGAATACCTCCTAGCGATAAATTCACAGACCTGAACGCCCGTTCTATTTGTTCGATTGGATCACCAGATCCAAATACCTGAAATAACATGAGACACTGGGCTTTATGTACTTTCTCCTACAGTCTCTGCTACATTGTCGCCTTGCTAGCATTTGTACTATTGTCCATACCGACCGAGAGAAAGTCTGCTGCCTTGATAGCATGGCCTATAAAGGACCTTTTCTTTAGGTGATTGCAGCTGGTTAATTTTATCAATCAAACTCTTTCCTGCCCCATTAATTGTAATATGCCTTGATCTTTGCTTTTAGGTCAGCTTAATTAGCATGAACATGGATTCCATATTGTCTGTCACACCTCTTGATCTCTCCTATCTTTGTTGACCAGGCTTCTCTTTATTTTCTTACTTCACTGTTGTATTTTTTCAAGTTGCCTTAGCCTTCCTCCTGCTTTTTTTACTGATGACCACTTTAAAGTCCCTGTGGTTTCCGTATGTCAAGCTGTATCCATGCCACCATTCATGTGGTTGCCTTTTCTTGTAACATCCAGTCTTAGGTTTTATACGTTCACTTTCACTTAAAGAGTTTCCATAACTTCCGGTGTGAATCTCTTTCTTTCAATTTTTGTGAGCATGTGATGAATCCTCTATGAACAAAGTGTTTGAAGGATCGCCCTCTGGGCTACCGCAAGGATAACATTATTACTGTCTTCATTTTCTCCATCTGATAAAATTACTAGATTGTAAATTGCTTTTCATATTAATAACTGGTTTTCTGTTCATTTGTTCACAGAGGTTTTTTAGTGAGTAAACCATTATTTTTTATATTAAGTAACCTTTACCATTTCTTTTTTTAACATCAAAAGAAACTTTTAACCAGAGGTTTCAACTCCTTTGGTGACCATTACATTCTTATTCCATTTGCCCCATATAAATAAGATAAAAAATATAATAATAACTATATTTTCAGTCATCATATTGTCTATATGTACTACTTTAATTAGTAGAATTGAATGTTTTATGACCTACAAATAAATACTTTCCTCCTCAATAATCGTTCAATATCAAAGAAAGCATTAGGTAGTCCCAGTTTACTGTAAACAAAGCATTTGATGTTTTAAATTTTCTAGGGGAAAGGAATTGACAATCATATATATATTATTATATAAGGATATATCATATTCCTTATATTTATTTATATATAACTTTGGTGCATGTTATTCACCTATTCCACAAGTGCTCTCCTCAGAAAATTCCTGAACCTGTCACTATTTTACAAAATAACGTGAATCTAAAATAAAAAGGTATTTTCCTTAGTTTTATTAGAATTGTGTGTTTATTTTTAATTTTCTAATTAATTTCTAATGTTTCAGAGATATCTTCAAAGCAGATGCCAATGTTGTTGATTTATTCAGGTTATGTAAACATTTTTATGAGTTTGGGAAGCTGCTGTCAAATGTAATTGAACATAGAGGCTCACTAGAACTTTGCAGTAATCTTATTCAGGTAAAATGTTACTGATCATTCTTGAGAACATTCAAATAACACCTAAAGTATGAAAATGATTGCCATTTGAACGTAACAGATTTTTTTAAAAATGGTCAAATGGGAATGCACTCTTTCAATCTTTAAAGATCTTGTTAATGGAATGGATGAATGAAAAAATTCATCTTATTGATATATACCGTGATCTTTCTGTTCTATGGGACCGCCATTCATCTGAATATAAAAACTGAAAATACGTACAGACACTTTAAAAAAAAAATATTTCATCAATTAATCTGGGCAAAATTGATATTGAAAGAATGATTAAATAAAAATCTTGGTTATTAGTGAACCAATTTTTCCCAATAATTTCCAAATCCATTAGGCGTTCTGACAATATCTGAACTCAGTATTCTAGGACTTCATTCGACTGGAATTTTAAATGTGTAAATTTGAGAATGTAGTTGTGAACTCTTGCTTCATTGGCAAAGACTGCTATTGTGGGAAGGAGCTATATACTTAAGAAAGTTAAGAAATAACTTAATAAATTTATGTACAACCTCAAATTGGCAGAATCACTTTTATGGAGATAATGTCGCTGAGAATGAAACAGCCATTTTCTCCGCAATATATTTAAAAGCTTACGATGTTATAGAGATTGGCAGAATCTATCAAACAAATGTTTTCACAAATCAATTAATATGGTGAATCTATCAAACAAATGTTTTCACAAATTAATTAATATAGTGCACTATAGAGCTAAATATATCTGTAATATAACCTGGAGAGACTACTCCTGGAAAGGAAAGGGGAGAATTAAAAGGGAGTGGGATTAATCAGATAATCGTCTCCTTCATATAATATTCATGGTGTTAGTTCTTCACTCCAGTAGAGATTTTGTAGAACCATTATAAGTTGAGAATATTCTTACAATTCCAGCTGTGTTTAAATAATTCCCCATAATGGTTCTGGAACCAACTGTGTAAGCTGTTGTGGTTTCTTGTCTTGGCTGGTTATGGATTTAAATAGTAACCTAAATGGATGAGTTAGGTCTGAGATTTTTATTGGTCATCAATTAATGTAGTAATGTTCTTCACTTTTATGACAAGGTTTCTGACTAAATGAATTGTTGGATCTGAATTCTTCAAATGTACCAACAAAAAAATAGTATATATTAAGAATATTCTTAGAAAAAATAAAATATCAATCTAGTCATAAAATGCTGACAATTAATAAAAGATCATAAAGATGGATATATAGTCCAAAAGTAAAAAATTTGGTGCAACACACAACTTTCACATACCGATCTACTATGAATAGAAATTATTTTCTGGCAATGCTGGGCTATAATAAATTTTTTTGAAGTGCATTTTAAACGGAGCTAAAGCTTAAAGCTTACACATAACAATTCATTAAGACCATTATAATTACAAAATGTCTATTTAATATATCGACAACAGGCAATAAAAATCTAGTCACTCCATCTGCTTTTATAAACCACACAACTTTCTTTGCTTTTATAAACTTCAGAATGACTAACTCCAATTTCAATATTTTTAAGTGATGTCATTTTAGTGACATTTTTAGTTGAAAAAGTTATCTATGCAGAATATGAGTAAGTTGATTCCGGAGGAGATGATTGCAATGTTGAGATATAGAACAGAAAATAAAGGTATAAATTTAGGTACTTATTTCTTATGAAAAATGTTTTTAGGAAAGATACTTTATTAAATATCTGTAGAAAAAAAGTTTTTTTTAGTCTCAACAATTAAAATAGTATATTTTAAATTTATCCAAATTTTCGCCTCTTCAGGGAAAAAAACTAGAGACCATATCTTTCCTCCTAGTTGTCCGATCTTAACAATTTTTTTTTTTTTTTAGAAAATTCCATAAACTTTTAAAAAAACCATATACAATATCACCAAAAAAGTGTATACTTTTTGAGTTATTTGGAATTTAATTTTACCGTCGCTCGTAACTTTTTTCCAGCTTCTTTTCGTTGAAGTATGTTATATAGATAAATTTAAAGGTTTTCTAGAAAATGACTATAGCGAAGTTTCATTGAAATCGGTACATCCGTTTAGGCGCTACAGTCTATAGCAACGTAGGTTTTTCTGCTTTTTTTTTTTCTCTATTAACTTATCAAATTCTTTCAAAAGTTATATTTAGCATTTTTTCATTACTTTAAATAATTTGAAATGATTAACTTTTTAAAATAAACCATATTTAAGGTACTTTAGAGGAAGACGTATATGAACATTGGGCATTTAAGCCCTGTAAAGTGACATCAATGGGGATAAGACCTAATTGATATTAAAGACCACTTAATTATACAATGATACACCGAGTTTAATCAAATCGTTTGAGCCGTTTTTGAGAAAATGTGTTTCAGCGTTGATATAAAGTGGCTCTTCCGGTTAGCCGATTTTAAGGAAAAAGTTGCCATCACATCTAAGGCATATACCTATCTTAAATACGTAATATCAGTTTCGTAGGACTTTTCGTTTTTGAGCTAGACTGCTAACATACAAACACACAGACCATTTTTCGGGACTTGGTCATTTCGACTCAGGATACCTCAAAACGTCTATTTCCGTTGAAAACTCAGATTCAAAAATTTTCTCGATCGCAATACTTACACTTACTATATATTACATATATACGTAAGTGAAAAGTAAAAATGGTTTATAAGGCATCTTGGAAATAATATAAATTTAGTATGTACCTACACCTTAAATTTGCTTTGATATTTATACATACAGACCTAATAAGAGTGGCTCTGGAAAAGTTTCTTGAGATACTACCTATCTCTATGTTCTAGTCATTCCCTTCCAGAAGGTCATCTCTACCCTACTATTATTAGTGAGCCAAGTCTTATGTCATTCAGATCAGACTACCATACTGTATCAGTTCTTGTTCAAAATCGAGTGTAGGTAGGTTTTTCCTTTTTTCCTACTGTTTCACTTTATAATTAAGTCTGTTTTTTACATTTTATAAAAGGTATTGCTAAGTTTCAAATCAGATTTGTTTGATTATAAGGATGAGGCATCAATTATGTGTAAAATAATTCTATATTGTAAATAAATAAACAATTTCTTTTTCATTCCTTATCCTCTAATTTTTTTTTTCAGATATTTATAGATAGATTTAGAAGACTGGCTGATTGGGCACAAAATTCTGAATCTGAGACTGGAGCTACAAATAAGTTTGACAATTATGAAAAAGCACTGCTACAAAGAGGAAAATTAGCACAAGATATGCTAACATCTTGGTTAAATGAAGGTGTAGGAACCATTACAACTTCAGTATTGGTCGATAGCTATAAAAAACGAAAACTTTTAGCAAAAGAACTTTCTTTTTGACCAATTACTAACTGTATCTTTTAAAAATTATTGTGTCCATAAGTAACATTATGTTAATTGTAAATGTATACTATATTAATATTCGTTTGACAAAGAATAAATATTGATTTTTTGAGTTCATTGTAATTGTTATTTTTTTCTATTAGGTTTTATATATCTCCTAATAGAAAAACAAAAGGACCTAATTGTCTAGCCTTTTTTCCCCATCTCAAAAAAAAAAAAAAAATAAATAATGAAATACAATTTACACATCTATTTCAATGATATTTGAATCCACATGACATGTTGCCTGTTATTCTAAGCATGTTCAAAGCATAAAAATGATAATACTCAAACTCATTTTCTTTACATAGTATTCCAAAATTAGGTACTTAATATCTTTAGCAGTTTTTGATTTATCTTCCAGATAATATTTTTAAAGCTATGACTAAATATGTGTATTTTAAATTTTACTGAAACTAATTAATTTCTTCCTTACCTAACAAAGAAAGATAAATTCATTGAGAAAGATAATTCCATATATATCCCTGAAGAGCAATTTCTAGACTGCAACAATATCCCTCAAGTAGTGTTGTTGATTTTTGCTAACACCAATAAGCAATCAAAATTTTCGATTCATAATTCGACCTTATTCAAGTCTTAAAAACTAAAATGTAATCAGATAAATAATACTTTTTCTTAGTTAAAAAATTAAGATAAAACATACTTAATTACTCAAGATGAAAATGGTATATTTAGTGAAGTATCTTTATTTTTTTATGAAGTTACATAATCACAACTTAATTAAATCATAATGTTTCTAGTTATTTTTAATCGTAAAAATGTTATATCATATGTTCATGATTTTTTTATCATAGTAACTTGCAAACAACTTACTATTCAACTTTTCCATTTCCCAATATTTAACTCCTTTTAGATTTTTAAACTTAATTATTTGTTATTAAATTTAAATTTTAATATTAAAATTTAAAAAATAACTTCTATATTCTATTGGTGTTGTACTTTCAAAGGAAAAGAGGTGAAAAACAATACTAAAAGTTTTATGTAAAATCTATCTGTATTTTATAAATCCCTATCAGTAATAATAAAAAACATCTGAATATCACAAAGGAGATTTATTTAATTACTTAAAAAAAGTATCTGTAATTTTAGGTTCAAACTAAAACATTTATAAAGAGAAAATCAAATTAATAATAAAAATTTATAATCATATTTCAAATTCTTATTCTTCACATCAGAAACAGGTGATCTAAATTAATCAAAATATAAAATGTAAGATTATAAGCTATCCGTTGCTAATTGATAACAGTTCTTTATGAGCAATTTCACTTAACAGTTATTAAGGTAACTACAGCTATAATCAAGTTACATTATCACCAGTAAAGTTATCAACTTCGTAACTTTTAACATCTGCCATTTTCATTGATTCAAAAAAAAAAAAAATCTTTAACAAGCAATAGAAAAAAAAGAAGATAACATGCGTACATTTTGTAATTATACAAACGAAAACATCAAACTATCTTTACATTTAATAAACATTTCTTATTTATTAAAATAGCAATATTTTAAAACATTGAAATCTAAAAACAGAGGTATTTATATTGTATAAGTCCCTCCAATCAAATGCACACTTGTATTTAAATGTAAAAAAAATTTAAGCAAAAAGACATATTTAAATAAGATATGATGATTTATGTTAGTCATTATTATTTAACTGGAGGTAATATATTAAGGACAGAATGAAATAAAAATATAATTATTTATCACATATTTTTAAAGTCTTTTTTATTTATCAATTAAATATATAGTATAGTTAAATTATCAGTTAGTCCACATTAGAAGATTAATTCTAAACTGAACTTGAAATATTTAGCTATGAAACGTGACAAATATTCATGATTGAAGTGCGGCTACCATAGCTCTCCATCTTTCTCTTTGGCAGGAACTTCAATAACACGAGGTTTATCTATAATCCTTGCAGTTCTCATTCCTTTTTCGACTATGCCAATAATCCATGCTTGATATCCCTCTTGCTTTTCTATATCTTTGCAATAGGCAGCAGCTTGTTCCCGTGGAAGACATATTAATAAGCCACCTAGCACAGCAGAATAAAAAAAATTATTACAAGTAATTATTATTATGAATATTTAATTATTATGTTTATCTCATTTTGAATCAAACTGACTTAGACAAAAATAAAAGAATAAAATTCACTTGTTTATATAGATAAAGTCAACATTTCAGCCCATTCTTACTAGTGAACTATTTACAGCGCACTCTGTCTTGAAGATGGGCCACAAATGTGGACTGAACACATCACTTTTTCCCCACTAGGCAGGATAAGGATAAGTTGATTAAAATCAATCAAGTTCATAATAAAGCTTTAAGATTTAAAATTTGATCATTACCAGATGTTTCAGCTGAATGTCCTTGGAGAAGTTGAAACATATTTCCACAAGCTTTGGCAACGGCAGCCATCTTTGCTATAACTGGAAGATTATGAATGACAAATGATACTTCATTCTTTTGATGTTTGGCTAAGGTTTGTGCATGACCTAGAAGACCAAAACCTGTTACATCGGTAGCTCCATGTGCGTTATATTTGTGCATCAATCTGGCAGCTGGAATAGAATAAAACACATTTCTTATAAAATTTTGACTTTCTAAAACTGTATATTGATGTATTTACTTAATTTTAAACTTAGGAGAAAATAAATATTACAGGTGCATATTTTTATTAATTTATAAAATTAGAACACACAATTGATAATTTACATATGTTATTCCAGAAAACTGACATTGATATACATTTAATTTCAATACTCACCAACCCTATTGAGCCTTGCCATTGAATCCATAGCCCGTTGATAAGCTTTTCGGACATCTTCATCAGAAACAACCAGTTTGATCCTGTTCCACCTCTCAGGTATATCTAACCACTGGTGAGCGTTCACCGCTACCTGGGTACCCAGAGGTTTTGTCAATACCAGCACATCACCTACCACCGCATTGTCAGGCCTATTTAACCATAACAAAATATATACGAATGTAATAAATATTTTAATAGGTAACCAGAAGATAAAAAATCTGGTGCGTCCATCACACAACTTTCACTTATCGCTCTACTTTGAATAGAAATTATTTTCTGGAAATGATAGGCTCTTACGAAATTTATGAAGTGAAAGCTAAAGCTTAAAACTGACAGCTAACAAATCATTAAACTAACAAAAAACAATTCATTATACCGAGGGTAGGCAATAAAAACCTTGTAACTCAATATGTTTTGTACCAAATAACGCCAGTCTCTGAGCTACAAATTCCAAGAGATTTGAAAGTACATCTGTATATTTTGTTGGAATCACGTTAAAGTAACAAATGTGTAACATTAGTCAGGTTAACATTTGTTACTTTAACATGGTGCCAATTATTTAACCAATAAATGATTATGGATTGTACTACTGTCATTTATTTAACAGTTATTTTTCCATTATAAAGTTTACTAAAATGAGTTACATTTTAATTGCTTACTACCAATAAGTCAAAAGTTGTCATACTAATTGCAAGTGGATAATGTTGTGATTTCACGACAGGAAAAGTTATAAAATTATTCACTAATTTAATTCTCTAAAATGTTACATGATGAACTTTTGAAAAAAAACTATCATAGATTATTATTTAATTATAATATCAGATCTAGAGTTATTAAACTACAGTTAATGTATTAAAGTTTATAAACATACATTTTACACATGCGTGAAATATTTTTACATTTTAATTCTTCTTTCACACAAGTACTATGCTATAGTTTTTAATGTCATTACTTCAATTTGGTAGATTTTATATATTTGTTTTTTCAAGCTTGAACATATTTTATTAAAAGTTTACATTTTGTTAGTTCCTTAGAAACATGTGATTTCCGTTAGACAATCTTAGTTTTCAGAAATTATTATACATAATTTTTTTCACAATCCATAATCTTCTAAGACTTCCCATAATAGATATTGTTTTTTCTAAAATTCTCAGCTTTTCAACTAAATGTTACATGAATACATTTTGACTACTAATTACGGAGATCCATTTTTGACCTAAATAAACATTTTTATTTTTTCCCTTTATTAAATTATCAAATTCTTTCATAACTGCTGAAAATAAGTGCTAGTTAATTATTTAAAATAAACCAAATCAAAGGTAACTTTGGTAAAGGAAGAAATTGTGAACATTGAGTATTTAAACCCCGTTAAGTGACATCAATAGGAATAAAACCTAAATGATATTAAAGACACTTTAATTATACACTGATATACCAAGTTTAATTGAAATCGTTAGAGCCATTTTGTAAAAAACATGTAAAGTCGATGATATAAAGTGACACTTCCAGTTGGCTGATTTTAATGAAAAAGTTTTTGTAACACCCCAGGCATGTACAAATCTTAAATATACAATATCAGTTCCGAACGACTTCGTTTTTGAGCTAGACTGTTCACACACACTATTTTGCAGGACTTTTTCATGATCGCAATACTTTCCCTTACGAAAGATTTCATATATAGGTAAGCAAAAGGAAAAATAAGTTGTTGGCAAATGACAGAATACAGGACAATAATAAAAAGATATAAATAGCACAATATATATTTTTACTGTACAAGATTGCATATTTTGCCACAATTGAAGATTTTATTTGTAAGTTAGAATGAAAGAAAACTAAGTAATTTCATGCAAAATAACATTTAAACAATCCAAAACAAATAAATCATCCTTAATCAATTTTAAGCTAGCAGAAAAAAGCACGAGCAGCTGAATGAATACAGAATACAGTTAAAATCAAAATTTAGAAAACAGTCTGAAACTTCATATCCTCCTAAAACTAAAGTATAAATGTAAACTTTCTTTCCATATGCTCATTGCCTGAATTATTTCTCAGCCATTATATTCTTAAAGGTTGTTTATATTAATTTTAATTGTTAAATGAAATTGATACTAGATAATTTGTACACTATTCTCTAAATTCCTCCAGCTTTGGGCTAAATTGAACAAGTCAAATTCTGAACGTGTCAAAAGCAATAAGTTTTTAGATCCGAAAGTGGGTGGATCCTTTTTTGAAATAAGTGGATACAAAATTAATCACCACTTGATTAATCTCTAACTTCCCTCCAAATTTGGGCCAAATCAATCAAAATACATTAGGGGGGTATCAAGGAAAATACCTAAGAGAAAGTAATGGATGGAATTAAATGAAATACACAATTTTACCAATTCCCAGCATTTGTGGATCAAATCAAAGGAGTCCTTTCCAAAATATAAGCATATCTAAGTAAATACATTTATGCATGCCTAAGCTAAAGTATGCGATCGAATTTGATATAGGTCCATCTAGGTGAGGTATCAACTCCGGATAATTTCATGAATGTTGGATAAACAATAGTAAGTAATATGCCTGTTAAATGGATTTGACTACAGATAAAAAAACAAATTAGTTCTGTGATGACCAAAATGTAAAATGCGAGTGAAAATTTCCAATTGTGGGCACACAATGTTTTTAACCTCCCATATTAACACAAAGCTTCATTAGTTTTGGTAATGAGAAAGCAAAACTGAAAATCTTAATATGTGAGCAAGGGAAGTAATACATCAGTCTAAATACACACCATTGTATAAATAATTTTTTTTATTAAACGCCTCTGCCGTTGGCTATTAGGCCATTCGGCTCCTGGCAGCCCAATATATTTTCTTCAAGATTCCTTTGTTTGAATTTGTGCCGATCCCACCAGAATTACTACAGTAATTCTGTATAAATAAATAAAGTTCATCTTAATGCATGTATGAAATAAATAAATAAACAAAAACATCTCTTACACAATGAATTCATTGGGTTGACAAACAGTAGAGGCTACACCACCAATGGTACACCATGGATTAACTACTGTTTGGCCACCATTTATAGATGTTCCCGCTTCCATTGCAGAATCCTATATAATAACAATGAAAAAAACAAAGGAAAAAAGTTTCAAATATGTTATAAAAATACTTACACTAAAAAATAATAAAAACTTCTTTGAAATTGTACTAGATAATTTATTTAGTGAAAATTAAAAGTAATAGTCCGTGGTACAGACCCCTTTTTATCAAATTATTAACATATGTCTGAAACATGGTAAATAGCTTCATCTTATCATAACCTGCAACTATTTTATTTACAAAAATTCTTGGAAATGGGGCGTTTTAAATCTGGAGGATGCTAAAGGTAAACTTTTTCTATTTAATTAGGTACTAAAAACTTGTAAATACCTATTTGCTTTTCACTTGGATTGTAATATAATTAGATCCCAAAATCTATAAAAAAGGTGGCCTAGAAGAATATTGGGCCATTTGTCCTATATAGTCTCGTTATTTTGAGAATTTGGGGGTGTAGGTCAGGTCATACCAAACGGCATAATATTTTTAAAGGACACATTTTTTTCCGAATTCGTGCTCAAATTATCTGACGATTCAGGTGGAAAGCAAATGGGTATTTATGAGTTTTTAGAAACTAATTAAATAGATAAAGTTTGCCCTCTTCCAGATTGAAAATGTCCCAATTCCGACAATTTTCGTAAATAAAATATTTGTACGATGGGATGAAGCTATTTACGAAGTTTCAGGGAAATGTTAATAATTTGATAAAAAGGGGTCTGTATCACGGACTATAAGTTACAGGGATTACATAATTATGCGGGTATTAACTATATATGAGTGACTACATTGATTAATATTTTTATAATTAGGGGACAAAAAATGTGAACTACAATACAACCCATGCTTGGAGTTCAGATACGTTAAAAGGAACAATGTCAATCTTACTGTGTTATCCTGCATTTTCATTTATATGATTGTTGCCACTAATTAAAAATGCAGTAAAATTGGTGAAGCCATAAAGGGGTCCTCATCCTGACATATGATTAACAAAAGTCTATTGTTAATCTTAACATTGACAAGGAGTAGTTTAAAGCCATCGAGCTTAGCTTCATGATAGTAATACCCCTATCTTTCATCTTCCGTATCTTGCATACACTAAGGGCTACAAATAGGATCCTTACTGATTATTATACTGTTTCTAGGTCAATGATTCTGTAAGATGGTTTGTCCAGAATCATACACCACTACTATATTTTTTTCTAAATAAATTATTTAATTATGAGTACCCTGTTAGAGGATGAGGGTGTTCTAGGGATGAAATTGGAAAAAAAAAAAATATTGATATATTGGGCCTCTGTATTTGTATCATTAAAAGAATAGAAAGTTGATTAAAATTGGAGTATTAGATTTTTAATTGAGCTAAAATAGCAACAATTAAGTGTTAATATATTCCTCCTTATAGCAAATAAAAGTAACAATTTACTAACGTTTGACAGTAAAAAAAATGAGTACTAACAACTAGGCAAACAGGATGAAAGAAAACCATATATTGAATGAATTGCTAAAAAACCTAACGAAGTATTAATTAAACAAATTTTTCTTATGCATTGTTTAAAAAAAAAAATTTGTTGCGTTTGCCAATGAAGCAGCTATCCTTTTAAATAACTTTTAACTTTGTTTAAATTTTTTTATATAGATCAATTTATAACATTAATGTTATGACATAACGAATAAAAACTATCGATATTTTTGCAAGAAAAGAGATGGGGAAGAAAGGTTATTATATTAATGCATATAGTATAATATAAAACGGCAAGTTTTATAGTTACAAGAGATTTAATAGCAGCAATTAAATATAGCTAACCACAAAAAAGGAACTATTTTTCAATAGAAAAAAAAAAAAAGACTTATTACAAGAAACTAGTTAAACGAATAACAAAGATGAAAGAAGTTCAATATTGAACGAATCACTAAAATGTTATAAAAGAATTAACATTTAATACAAAGAACTGGACAAAATTGATAAATCTGTTTGACATCACCATAAATTTATCAAAACCAAATCATTTTTGTATAATACTTCTGTATTACCAACATCATGATACACAATACTTTTCTTAACACAAACAAGAAATACTGGATGTCGGTTGACCGTCATAAGTAGGTCAGTAATATCTAGTGCAGTGCATCAAAGATAAGGTGGCCTGTAGGGGAAGGGAGCTCGCCTTTCCTCTCTCAAGCTCCTCACCCTAGCAATCACTTCATACCGCAAATGCATTTTTTTATGTTTGATTTTCTATTAAATTCTAATTTCGAAAAAGAAATGAAAAAAAAAAAGTGGTGAAAGAAAATTCACATTGTAAAAGAAATTTTAGAAATACGTACAAATGAGTGGGGAATCAGGCGATAAACGTTTTGCCACTGCGCAGCTTTAACCACTGGCAAACTTATCTTGGATGGACTCGAGATAAGGTTAAAAATAGTTGTTAATAGATAAATAGCAATCCAAAGGACCTAATGGTGGCTAGAAGTATTCGTGAAACCATTATGCATTTCTTTGGAAGAGATAAATAAAGCACAAGATAATTATTAATTTTGAAACAAGAACTAACTAATCAGTAATAAAAAAAACCTTTTTTGATACATCTAATCTGTGGGCAGGGTAGCCGAATGGGCTAACGCGTGTCCACAGCACCATCGTTGCCCGGCAACCTGATATAGGACTCAAATGATATAAAAATAGTCACGAGTCCGAGTCCAGTGTTGAGGGAGTCTTTTAAATCCCTGGCCAGGGATTTTAAACCCTGTACAGCCTTAACGGCAAGGAACGAGAGAACCAAAAAAAAAAAGAATCTAATCTGTAAATTAACAGGAATTACTGCCTCTTACAAGATATCTTGATAAGTGTGTAAGGGTAAATCAAAGAAAGCAAACATGTACTGCATTATTTATAATACAAGAGTTAGTAGAAGAGATTTTATCATATTGTTGCAGAAATGATCCAATTTTCCTTCTGTTTTTTTAAAACTACTAAATGCCTTATCAATCTAAATATTGATAGAAGTAAATGAATTTCAGAGACAATCAAGTGACTGACTTAGCTGATATAGTAAATTTCCTAAAATATACCTTAAAACCCCTCATTATCAATGGTGTCACAACATCTCTTTCTCTTTCAGTCATTTTTGTAGAAACAGCTAGTAACATTAGCATATTATCACATTCAGTTACACCCATTGCATAAAGGTCACTTAGTGTATTAGCACAAGCAATTTTACCTATAAATCAATTACAAAATAAATGATAAGTTTTCACCTCTGAGATTACAAATTGAAAATTTAACAAAATAATTGAATAACTAACTTCAATAGAAATAATATCATACCCATCATATAAGGATCATCTACTAAAGGATAGATAAAATCAGTAGTTTGAACAAGGTACAAACCACCATGACGTAGTGGGGTAACACATGAGTCCATGCCAATACCTTGAAACAGAGCATTAAGCAAAATAAACTAAGTATACAATTTTTAAACAAGAATGAAGTAACATATAATATGATATCTAAGTAGTAGAAACATATAAAATATGTTATAAATGATATAAGTTATTAAATACAATTTATTGTGAAAAGTTCCATGCCATTGCAACTTTTAAAAATTATTAGGTATTAGAAATTACCAGATTTCGTATTTTATTTTTATTATCTACTTATATGTTATTAGGGATAAGATTTATCAATATTGTTTAAATTCTTTAAATGTTAAAAAAATAATACCTTTTTCACCAATAAGTTTACAATGTTGGAGTTTCATGATAAATTAGCATTAATTTTCCTCTGCCACATTTTAAGAGTGCAATGAAGAAAAAATGGAATGAACAGTCTCATTCTGAGCAGTAGACGGAAAGGAAACAGAACGGAACGAGCAGTCTTGGGATGAGAATGGAACGGTCTTGAATCAGTTCCAAGAAACCATTCCACCTCGTAACCTCACAAATAAATTAATAAAAGAAATTTATAGGAGAGAAAAGCGTGTAAGATTTTCATATACAACTGATTTTCTTTATCACCCAATAATCGAGTCAGTCATTCATTGATCAACATGTCAGCTTCTAAAAATATTCTCTGACATGAAATTATACCCATTATTTCTTTTGCTGGTGACATATATTTTCGGTTATTTGTTCTGCTGAGCAAACCATCACTTGATATGATCCCATCTATTTGTTATCTAAAGTACTCTGCTAAGTACCTATTATTTTCTTTGATTCAGACATACCTCTCAGAGAATGCTGCTCTTGGATTCCCTTCAATGTTCCTAAAATGTCCAGTTTTTTCCCTTGATTATTCTGATCTTCTCCCCAATCATCTTAAATTTTTTTTATCTCAATGATTTTTCTTAATTTAATAATTTTAGTACTAAGCATATCTGCCTCATTATTCTCTATCTTGATCCAAGTAGGAATTTCCCATCGCTAATTGTGAATTAGTACATATACTCAAATCTAAATGAAACTTACACTATATTACTTTCAAAATGAAAAGAAACAGTTATAAATCAACTCTAAAACATAAACCATAATAATAGAAACAATAGATTTTGTAAAACAGAAAAACTTGGAAAAGAAAGATTCAGGAAAATAATGCTCATTAATTCAGCAAAGGTGGATTAACTTGAGATCCAGAAAATATATCTCAACTTTCCTACCCTGGAATAAATCAGAATGATAACTCGTCAATCTAAACCTAGTTAGAGAAGATATTAGTATTAAAACCCAAAATTGCATGACATTAATGCACTATTAATTAAATATTGAAAACTTGATGGATGACCGTGATATATTATTGAGCAAGAAGGTGGTTCGTGGTGGTAGTCATAAAAAGATTAAATAGTAACAAACTATTTTATTTTAAGCCAACGTTTCTACTCGACTTTGCTTGTCTTCTTCAGGGGGTTGTATGCAGAGGAAGTTTCAGTTTCAACTGAAACTCTCTCTGCATTCAACCTCTGGAAGAATCCTGCAAAGTCGAGTAGAAACGTTGGCTTAAAATAAAATAGTTTGTTACTATTTAATCTTTTTATGACTACCACCCCGAACCATCTCCTTACTAATTAATAATAGCTTGAAAGGCACCTCAAACTACCCATGACCCTCTCAAATGTTCTTATCGCTATCACTCTGTCAGAAGCAGGTCTGAAGGAGACACACTATCAGTAGTAAGTCCTCCCTACTTCTCTTTGGTATTCCACATGGTCTGACTCCATTAACGGTTCCATAGTATGATTGCTTGAATGTACTATACTATCACCTATCGTGACTACAGGTTCTGGCCATTTGAAGCACTGAATTACTATGAAACATTGAGATTGTTGAATAAGTCATAGGCCTCTTTGTTTCTCCTCAAATGGAATGAACTATTTTTTCTTATGTCCCAACATTTTCCTCTCAAACAAGTCAATGTTTTTAGCTAGGTTGTGCAGTGTCCAAGTTGCACAGGCTTAGGTCGGCTAATTATTTAATACAGGATCATTTTGGTATTCCGATTGATGAGTTCACTATAGAGAAGTTTCAAGTAACAGAATAAAGTTACAATATATATGAGCAAAACAATAAAACCATCCCTTTTCAAAACAATCAATTGCACTTCCACTTTTTTGATTAGAGAAAATTTTCTTGGGTTAGTATGTATTTTAAAAAAATCTTTAGTATTGACACTTATGAACATATAAATATTCATTAGGAATACACTGTTGGTAAAACAATAAACAAGGTTACTATTTCCATTTTGACCAGACTGTACTATAACCTTTAAATAGGTTATTGTTGACAAGCACTTGAAACCGGAAAAAAAGAAAAGAAAGCATTATTCCATTTATTTTAATAGGCAATTAATAACTCACCAATTCGAGTGACAGCTATATGAAGAAAATGGGCATGTTCATGATCCTGTGCATTATTGTCATCTTGTTGAAGTCCCTCCAGGAGACGCGACAGCACCTCCTGTGGGACTTTACACCCTCATCCTTTTAAATCAGAGAACCTAGTTAATCTAAAAGTAGGTTCTAACTGATGCTGCACAGGATCAAAGGGTCTCCTCAAGACCAAAGCATTTGCATTTCCAGCCAGTTCTAATTGAACAGCAGAAAATGCGTCTTGGCTAACTGAGGAGGCCTGAAGCTCTGCCATTATCGGTGTAGCCATGTTATTCAGTCAGATGATATCAACTAACTTAAAACAATATATTTACACTCGTCTAAATTCAACCATTGACTGAAGACACGCTACTACAACACAAGAATGTTACAGTATGGCTGCCTCACGAAGGGATATGAATCTGATTGGCCAGGATTTCCCGGTAAAATTCCAAGGGGAGCAGACAAAATTTCGTTTTCTCCCTTCTCCTTTCTCAATCTTTGGCTTATTATACAGGAAATACCTAGGTACGCTTTTGGTGTGGTCAAATTATTTGATACATATTTTTAAATTTCTGACATATTTATCAATGCAAAAGCCCTTTAAGTGCATAAACCCTATATATGTAAAAAATATAGACAAGTGCACAATATTGTGATTCTCATAGGAAGAATTCTTTCAATTATTTAACCATTTAATTTTCTGAAAATGTGACTGAGATTAAAAAAAAAAATGATTTAACATAATTAATAATATTGAATGTAAAATAAATATTTGTATTTCAGAAGGTGTGAGAATGTGATGATAGCGGGGAACTTTCCGCTGACTCCGAGAATCAAGAGGTCCCAATATTTTATTTTTTTCTTCTTTCTTATAAATATTTCTGTGAATTCAAAAAAGTAACATAAATGACAATAATTTTTTAATGTAAAGATAAGAAACCAAAACTAGGAAGTTTTAGGATAGAACTAGAATTACCAGGTTTTTAAAGTTCCATAGTAGGACAGTTCACGTGAAGAGTAAAAAGAAATTGTTATACATGTTTATTAAAAAACATAACATATATATTATATTTATGATATATTAATAAATATTCTGGGCATTAATTCTAACAATATAAACCTACAATATTAATTATAAGGTATACAAAATTTATCTATTTAACTCTAATTATAAACTCAAAACTGATAATTTTTTTTTAAATTTAAGGTTCATCTAGTAAAATTTAACTAGAGTACATCATCTTTTATGTTTTCAAAAATATGTAACTTTGTTGAGAATTCGCAGTTATTAATAATTCTGCGTTAATTATATTTACAGGATGTCTATTACTCTTTCAACAATATTGATACGCGATAAAATTCGTTCTTTAATTTTCGTTCTTCACTGATATCTAACAAGTTATTCTTTTAGTAACTTCATAACCAAAAAATTTTTGTATTTAAATATATTTATGATGTTATCATTAAGGATTATGAATTACTTGTTACTTAAGAAATTGGCTTAAAACTCAAGAAACATCAATAAAAGCCGAAAATCAACCAGCTCCAAAACCCTTACCACCTAAAGTTATGAACCATCAAATGATCCCATAAAATGAAAAAAGAATTAGGTAGTAGATTTAGACAAACGAAAGAGATGTCGCTTATTTATTTCTACCCATTGGCCCTTGCAATAAATAAGTAACAATAAATATTTTTTGATTATGGCAAATAATCAACATTTGCAGTTTTATGTGGTTTATTAGACTTTATTAAGGACCCACATCATCAAGGCTAAAAATAAAAAAAGTAACATAAGAAAAATAAGATATGGATGGAAGTATGTACTGAGGATCAAAAAAGTATTGGCTCACCTAACATTTTTCATGTTTCATTGCGTAAAAATCCAAAATTGAAGAGTTAAACATTTTTATGTAATAAAAGATTTTTAAAAAATACATGAATGGGGGAAAATAAATTAAATTTACATAATTAAAAAAATCAGTATTTTAATTTGAGGGTTATATCACGAAATGGATATGTATTAATATTTTGGCATCTATGACACCTTGGAATCTTTTTGGCATCACCTAAGCAAGATTTTGAGTTAGTTCTAGTCCATTTTACGCTATTTCTCTGACGAAGTTTTTAAAAATATTTTTTTGAAGAAATTTTTATTTTTTCTTACTTTAAAATCCAACAGATATATAGATGTTCTATGGCATTTATGTCTGGAGACTGTGGTTAGTTCCATTGGCTGGGACCAATGCACAGCATCCATTCTTTTGTTTTATTTGCTGTGTGCCTGGCGTCATTGTATTGTCGGAAGACAAATGCATCATTGACCCTCATATTTTCGGCTCTACTTGTTGAATTATATCGCAAAATGTCGAGATATTGGTTGGCATTCATAATATTGTCAATATAGCTCACTAGCGGATCCAGGCTTTAATTTTGGGGGGGGCTTCAGCCTGGAAGTTTTTTATTTTTCATATATATAACGATAATTACTTTGGAAAAACAGAAAGATACTAACTACCTATATGAAATGGGGTTTAAGTAATTCTTGAAGTCCTATTAAATGTAATTAAATGAGCAATAATACTTTAAGACATAATTTTTTAATATTTTTTACCATAAAGCATGGTTACATTTTACCATTTTGGGGAAGTGAGGGGGGGGGGCTTCAGCCCGAAAGCCCTCCCCCCCTTAGATCCGCCGTTGATATAGATTAAGTTATCAACACCATTCCATGACATAAATTCCCCCTCAAACATGAATACTTCCACCTCGATATTTTACAGTGGGCCTTAAATGTCGAACTTAAAACTCAGGGTAAAGTTTCCGCCAAACGCACATGTCATCATTAGGATGAAATATGTTAAAATTATTTTTATCTGAAGAAATAACCTTTTCCCATAATTCGAAGTCTTTATTAACCCCAGTTAACACAATTCAGGTCTCCTTCTGCGGTTCACCTCTGTAATAAAAGGTTTTTTCTTTTGGAATATGCCACAATAATTGTATACATGAATTATATTTTTAACAGGTGATATTTGAAATAGATGCGACCTCTTGTGCTACTTCGGCGGCTGATAAAGAGCGATTTTGCTAAACAATTTGATGCATATACCTTTGATATTTCTAGAAAATATCTTCATCCAATTGAGATTTGCATAAATATTGGAGTGTGCCAATACTTTTTTGACCCATTGAATATAAGCTGAGATAAAAAGATGGATATTACACAAGCTATAATAGTAATATAAACATAATAGTGTGCTACGAGAAACTAAATAAATACATATATAAAAACGCAAATAAACTAACTAAATGATTAAAACAAATAAAAAAATATGGTGCGGTGCGGGCATCACACAACATTTACTTACCATCCTACTTTTAGTATAAATAAGAGAAAATAAAAATTGTAAAGGTACAATATATTAATTTAAAACAATTAATTACCATACATTTTTGTATGCATCAATTCCATTTAATTTATTAATTTTTCATCACATTCCATTCGTTTCTATATCAGGCTATTAGAACTCAGCGACCCTCTTATATTTTACAGAGCTTACAATTTAAATAGTCCATCAAATTCCGTCCCACCAGATCTTGTACGTCCGACCTCTATCCTCCTCCTCACCCAACTGCTGCGTTTGACAAATCCTTTGTAATTCAAGCCGCCTCCCTCTGGAATTCCACTATAATTGATACACTCAATTAGTTCCCTGTTTCTAATCTCTCTCATTTAAGAACCTATTTCATGCCTTATTTATTTTATGTCTAAGTACTTTTTTTACTTTCACTTACCTATAAATGAAATATATTCAAAAAATTTATAATAGCCCATCATGGCCAGAAAATAATTTCTATTCACAGTTGAGCGGTAACTGAAAGTTGTGTGTTGCGTGCATCAGATTTTTTTTTTTTATATCTATTACTTGTATTTTTACTTTTTATTACTAACTAGCTTTACCCGGCCACGCGCTGCTGAGTCTTATTCTGGTAAAATGGAAAAGAAAGAAAATAGAAAGAACATATGAGTGGATTAATAAAGGATATCTTTCATTTTTAAAAAGTTGGGAAACAAATTTGTCTGTAAAATGGCTTTAAATTATGTAATGATTAGTTAATGTAATGATTAATCATAATTAATTTATATTTAAACTAATTCTAATGATTTTTTTTCATGATTTAACTTGAACATTCTTAATCATCACAGTAACGGGCGGATCTACGGGGGAGGGAGGATTTGGGGCTGAAATGGTAACATATAACCATGTTTTACGGGAAAAAATATTAAAATATTATCTGTTAAAGTATTATTGTTCGTGTAATTACATTTAAAAGGACTTTAGGAATCACTTAAACGCCATTTCATAAAGGTAGTTAGTTCCTTCCTTTTTTCCCAAAATAATTATCGTTATTTTAGTGAAAAAAAAAAAGCTTTCGGGATGAAGCCCCCCAAAATTAAATGCTGGATCAGCTAGTGATCAAAGTGAATACGCCGTCATTCTTAATCATCAGAAACAGTCTGAGTTGAACTTAACAAACTAAAATTGACTTTATCTCCACTTTCTGAAAATGACAGAGATCTGTATTCGATATGAAGCCACTGATATATTTTTTTTATGTTTAATTTTATTATTAATTTTTTTATATTTAATGTATTGATTAATGTTCAACTTTGTGTTGATCATTTTATAGCAAATAAAAATGTTAATGTTTGGTTGTTCAAACTCTTAAATCTCGGAAAGTTCTTCACCCATTGCCTTGTTATTTTAGTTTAACGTTCCATTTGAATACGCGCGTGGTTTAATATATCTAATATTATAAAATATAAGTTGAAGCTATTCATATTTATTAAAAAGGCACCATCAGTTGGATGTAAAAGTACTGTTTCAATGTTAAAGATTTTCAAATATCAATCGTGGCAATGCATTGAAATTGTGCTATACCATTTACCATAGTTCATTTCGTGTGCATTAGAGCTGCCTTCCATCTTTCTCAAAAGATTTCGCATACCTATCCTAAGATAATTGATTGCTTGCTTCTTCTTAATAACATCTTGCTAAATATAGAGTTATCAAAATTGTAGTGGAAAAATAAACCTTACTCATGAAAGAAACCCTACGGTAAAGAGCACAACCTTATTCCAACGTAATCTTAGAGAAAATAATTTATTATAAAATAAAATAAACTGAAATCAATAAAAAACTGATTTCTAAAAGGAACATAAGCGATGATAAGAGTTAAATATTTTAAAATAATATCAAATCAAATATTTGAGATGCATCATGTATGCATACAACTTCCAGAATACATTGGGAGGAAAATAAAAAATGAATATAAAGAGCGTATAATAGAATTGAGCTACATAAGGAGAATCATATCACTTCTTCAAATG